GTATTACATATATAATCTGGGAGGCGTGTGATATGTAGGACTCGGAACTCATGCTGTTGCACTCAGTCTGTAACTTCGGTTTTGTTCAACAAACCACTTTTTCTCTTAATCTGTTTCAGCCATAGTTTTACACCTGTTTTCCTATATTTCTGTAGGTGCTTCAGGTAATCTTCACATATTTTAAACATCCTGCAGGGTGGTCAATACATAATTCAGCCGTTTTGTATGGACCGATTATGGCCAAAATAAGTTGTCGGTATCCTTCTGAATGAATTTTACATATAGATAATTTTACTAGAATGACAACGTTATATCCGTTGTTTTCGTTAACAGCTCGAAAGCTTGTCGACCCATCACTGGTCGTACCAGTGTGTGATTATCTTTGTAGTTGTATCCCGGAAAATATTCGTAAGAAGTTCCGTTGTGGTGTCAAGTAACCGGGACCAAATAAGGTACGTACCACTTAATTTCTTCCCATTTGAAACTTCTGTAACACTATACCATAATTAAACGTTTTCCATACTTTCCCTTGTTGAGATGCACTTAATTAGATATCTTTTCATCATATCCAAAGCAAACATCATTGGCAGAATCCATATATATATATTGTTGATCATAGCAGGTCTTTGACTCAATAATATATCAAGCACTAGGGTAGCAGTGTACATATATACATATATTACATATATTAAAAAAAAATCATTATTAGAGAAAATACCTAGAATTTTCTAATATGCAGTGATTCACAACTGAAGATTAGTCGTGATTAATGGAAATTGTTTCCTTCATAAGGAACAGAATTAATGTTTAAGAAAAACCTGGTATTACAGGCAAAATATGACCGTTACTGCAGAAAAATGTCTCCGAACTCTCAATTGCTGTTAACATGATTTTCAGTTTTTCATTGGGGTATTTATACAATTCGAAAATTAACTATTTCGAATCAGCTAACAATGATAACCATCCATCACTTTGTGAACCTCTTTGTAACCCCATTTTTCCAAACTGAAATGATAATTAGGAAAAGCCTGTACGAGGTGCAATATCCTTTAATTTTAAGAAACAGAAAATGACAGGTTACATGTAACCGATTTTTAAGTCACACCAGAACAACCCAATCGGGCTGTTCACAAACCAAGCAGTCAAGAATTGGCCAACGTCAATATATATATATATTAACCTTTGTTATGATCCAGCCATCGTAGTAATTCTATACCCGGTAGAGTGGTCGATATTTTAACTTTGGTTTCATTTCTGTTTAACACCCTATTAATAGCTTACTACAGTTAATGACGTGCCTCAATGTGTTGTGTATACGTACTTGCGTGTGAGACGGAGTTAGAGTATGTTGGTGTGTTTGCCTCCCTGTGATAATGCGCATCTGATGCCGACTTTAAAGGGCTATCCCACTGAAATACCATGCCGAGGGAACCCAGCACAGCATTACGCCCGGTCACATTAAACTGACAACGGATGAACCAGTTTGCCCTAGATGCTAAACGTTAAGCAGGGAATAGTAACTACCATTTTTAAGGACTTTTTGTATGTTTCAGCCTGATGACAGAACCCATTCTTATATTAGGTGAATAATGTGAACATTCTGTAATGGGAAACCACCTTTGTTTGTATATAATACTTATATGTATTGTTTTCGTCCGAACTTGCTTATTTACATATCGTTTTGAAATTATAATTATCCGGAATTCTTAATTACAGAAACACAGAAGCAGACACAATGGTTGGATTGGTATCCGTGCCCAAACATATTCAGAAGTAACTAGACCAAAAAACGTTATGTTGAAGAAACAATAAGTTTGATTGTCTTGCTTGAACCGTGTATTACGTTGCAATTTAGTATCTCAATAAAACCAGTAGTTATATAAATAAAAGGTTGTATAACAGTGTGGTATTCGGTGCATTTGTATTGTTATTTAGTCTACGGATACTAACCTGTTAACTAATATATTGTACATGTAAATTACATCATTGATTTGTTCAATTTGTTTGAACCGTTGCAAGTAAGAACCAGTCATGTAATTTTGTCGGCATATCATCTAAAACTTATACACCAATCATGTAAGCGTATACAAAAATGGAAAACCAGTTTGTTTTGGAGTGACATAGACATTCTTTTGAATAAACATCAGATGATAATCTTAAATATTAAACCAAACTCGTTATTTGTGCGCATATTTACGAATTGTTGTTTTTATCTTATTATAATCATACTTCTTTATCACTGTTGATTGTGTGTTGTTTTATTGGTATCACCTTGTCATAGAGATCTTCAAAATATAGGCTTATTCTTCTTTTGAATAGTTTGGGCAACTCTTTTGCATAATCTAAAAAGATCCCGAGAGGAGTAAACCAATGCATTATTAATTCAATGTGAACGTGCTCGCATGATTATGTTACAGATCATGTCATATTTTATCTAAATGAAATTTTGTTTGAAATATATCTGACCAGTTAAATTACAAACAACAATCCATTGACTACTTTTTATATGATATTATTAAATATTTAATTAGTATAACAAAATAATGGTGAAACATGCTTATAAGCAAAATTGTAAGCAATTTTATTTTAAATCTGCAGCAGATTAAGGAACTATATACGATTTTGAACTTTATCTACCTAATGTTAAATTTCCCATGCAATATGAATGTATTTTGCCTATTAGACTTGATTTTGCATGAAGTTTCGGATATTATCATGATGCTCTTTGTTATTGTTTTTGTTTGGATTAATAACATTTGAGAATAGCAAAACATTATAACAAAATCTTACACTTAAGATTAAACTGAATAGACATTATAGCAGCTGTCAAAAAGGACATAAACTACAACTCAAATTCTTGTCCTTGACTTTCGATGACAATACCTCCGAAAATGACTTTCGACCGGATTGGAGCGGTAAAATAAACTGGCATTCGTATTAATTTATGTTATAAGATATATACAACATAACAATTTTCACAGATCAATGATGTTAAAATGCCAGATGATTACTTTTATGTCTTCAAAAATAAATGCCATGCACTGTCGCTTCCATCTTGTCATTCTGCAGTAATTTTCGCTCGACATTTTAACTGTTAACGATAAAGCGAGTATTGATAGGAAGGTATGTTTTCTTAAAAATGATTTTATCAATTAACAATTTAGCAGCCATTTAGAAACAAATTCATTAAAATTATATAAATCACCGTTGTTCCAAACGGTAGCATGCAGTTGAAATAAAACCAGAGTTCCTGGATAAAGCTAAGTGGTCGCAAAATAGAGAAAGCACAACCTGGTCGTCTCGGAAAAAGCCTAGTACGTTATCCATTGTGACCGCCCAGAATCAAAAATATCATTATGACGCAAAAGGATTTGGTGTCAAAACCAACCCGCATAATACATGTATTATTGCTATAGGATGCTGTATTCATTTCCTGACAGAAATATCTTCTGTTATTGGTTCCATTCCAATTAGTTGTACTGCAGTTTCTTCATTCTGGGCTGTTTCCTTAGAATAGAAAATAAACAAGACAGTCATAAGTTCTTCGTGTGAGAGATTTTAAAAAGAAAACTTTTAATGAAAACAATTGAAAGTGCAGACGTTTCACTACCGTTATCTAACACATATATTAATCAATTCTAATATTTCCCGATTTATAATTTTGATGAGAGTCATTAAATGTTACGTCAACTTCGCGAGTTTTAACGGATGCTTAAGCTCAAGCCATGTGCTAAAGATCAAACTTCTTATCTCAATGTTTGTTATTTCTCTATGTTGTTGATACGAGAGCGAATGATTATTTTTTAAGCAAATATTTTGATGGTGAACTGGATGCATCGTGCAATCAGTAAGGGAGCGTACTGGATGTCGCTTCTCATGTTACTCTACATGAAGCAATTACGATAATAACATTTTCAGAATATCAACTTGTTGACTGTGTTTCCTTGTTGATAAAAACGGTTGACCTTTTCGTTATGAAAATACAGGTATGCCTAAGTGAAGTGTGGGAGAAAAACAAATTTGAGGTATCTCAAACTTCATTCATATGTGTACCTCATCTCTTCCCGGATCCTTTATTCCGCACCGGAACTTCTTTCGGATTCTTTCGGGAATACAGCAACACAGATAATCACACACCGGTACGGTCAACGAGGGATCGACAGGCTTCCGAGCTGTTAACGAAGCAAACAGATAATATACAAAATGTAATTAGAAGAAAAATAACATCGCTCAACTCAAAAATATTTAAATATTGAATAACATTTCTTCGAGAATAATACCTTGTAAACGGCTGACGAGAGCTCCAACTCCGACGACTAAGCAGATGCCGAGTGGAAGCAACCATTTGTACGACAGCGAGTACAGTACATCAAGGCCTTGTCTGGAAAAAATAACATCTATAACTAGAAAATGTATTAGCATTTGGTTGGAGTGATAATTCTGTAATTGTGTCCATTGCTGCCGGAAGACGTTGTCATGTGTCAGGATAGATGTTGAAGCGAAGCGACAGCATCAAGGACAAATATAAATGATAACTTGAACATTAAAACCCGACTAGTATATATATTCCAATTTACGTGAACTCACTATCGACACAGCTGTGTTAGTCTCCTCTTTTCCACATTGATACATGTTATTATTAAACTCCCCCGATTTCGTAATTAGCTATTTACTCCGGATTTGTTCATCCCTTGTTTCTCCCGGTCTTCGATCAGCATACATGGTTCATCACCATTAATTTCCGATAACATGATTATAATTATAATGATGTCGCTCACTCGGACATAAACTGTTTAATAATGGCAAAGCGATGAATGTCTTGCATATAAGAAGGACGCAATATACATGATTACCGAAACATAGGATTATATAATAGTTTAGTTTAAACAATGAGAACGTTTCGTTTGACATGTGATCATTCTTACAATGCTTGTTGCCACCATTATAACCGGTATTATGTATACACAGTGCTTTTTCTTTTCATAAAATTCCCTCACTTGTAGCTAAAGTGTCCAGACGACTAGTTGTATCTAATGATAACAAACATGGAAGGCTACTTGACATGCAAAACTAAAGTAGCGAAAGGCAAAGTATTTTGGAGAAAATTACTCAACAGAAATATATTAACGGTATGTAATGATTGGTACTTTTACACTATTACAACAAAAAGACAATGGAAACACGGAACCATATAGAGTATAGGTGATACATGTATTCACATTTTTATAACTTAATTGACCTTTTTCCTCAAACTGTTTTCAATTAAATTTGATTTGACTAGCACTTACGGTCCTTGAGTGACGGTCATATGCCCCGCCCCCGCAATCGAATCAGTATCATTTGACACAAATTCTGTCATCATTTGCACGTATATATTTCCATTGGTAAATCCAGAAATGTTGACCAGAGGACAATTTTCCGTTGAAGCCGGTCCTAATTTTGCATTTACACGCACTCCTGATGAAATCAACTTCCCTACAGATATCCATCCTACAAATATTACACACACCAAGCCACCGACGAAACCGCCCTGTGTATGCAAAAGGTCAAAAGTTATAAACAATGTATGAATACCAGGAATCAAAATACATTCAATGTATTTGTGTATATACATATCTAAAACTGAATACAAGCCAAGATCTAATTGTTAACCTAAATTAGATAGGAAGTAACTGCCTTATGATACCACTATTTTGATACTACGCTGACATGAATATCGCCTTTTATAACAGTCAGAATCAACAATAATTTCATTTTGTAAATCTCACGTTAAAGTTAAATAAACGACAATCAAATACATCTAAAAGCAAACAAACGCGAATTAAACTAATCTTAAGTATCTTAAACGCCCAATCGACTTACCAACGCATTTGCTCTTGGTATAAACCATCCAAGGACAAACACACCAACCATAGCACCAGTAAAACAAGCTCCAGTAATATCAAGTATCTGCAACACAACATAGAAAGAAAATATAGGGTTGATGTTAGGAATTAATTACTTTTATGTAAAAAATGTAAAATTAATTTAACATGCACCAGTTAACAAGTTTTACATACGTTTACAAAGATTTTGTTTTGTAATTTCAAAAAAGTAAATTTCTGCAAAACGTGCGAACATGCAAAATGTTTATGTGACAAAAGTCGACAAAATGAAAAATGTATCAATTTCTCAATTCGACTTATCTGGATATGCGTAACCTACCCGTGATATTGGCCCCTCGATTCCAGATATGGCGAAAGTAACAAGTAAAGCGATCCCTCCGAAAAGTAACACTGCAAAAATGTTGTTACATTGTAATATATTCAAAAGTGTGACAATATGGCAAAATATGTTTAGGATCCTCGTACCACTCATGCATTGCTAAATTTTATACTACATCAAAACAAATGAAGTTAACTAATCGACATGAGTGTTCTGAGAGTAATAACACAGAACAAGACCAGATTTCGAGGCCTGGACCTCATGAAACTGTCTGCTCTGAACTGCGTGATCGGCGGTTATTCCTTGACGACCTAGTCCAACTATACATACAAAACAAATCAACAGAAGTAACAGTATGTGTGGAACACTACAATGGAATTCTGGTGTCTAGTTTGGAAGGGGTCCTTTAGCTTATAAACAGGTATACAATGGAATGACATACATTGCAAACCGCGCAGCCACACATTTTTACACATTCTGGTAATCGTTTAAAAACCCCAGTGAAACTGCTTTTAAAACACTTGTTACATCGTGGTTTATTTCCCAATATATAATAACCAGGATACACAGTTTGTCGATGTAGCTCAGCTGGTTAGAGTGACATTACAACAATATTAGGTCAAAGGTTCGAACCCTAGTCTAGCGACTCTGAACTTCCTACGTACTGTTGTTAATTATATTTTGTTTGTTTCATCTTAACCTTTCTCTTCAGATATGATCTATCAAAGTTTCAATTATGCTGGTAAAACAATATACTATTTTTGGCAGCGGTACTGGAAGCTATCACCATTCGTTTAGTTCATGGAGCAAATGTGAAGACAATAAATGGCAAAATCATATAATGTTTAAATGTACAATTTCGACATTTTAAAGCATTTATTGAAAAAGGTATGAATTGAGATTTTTGTATGAAATGAAGTGCAGATCACCTGAACACTTTGTAACAAGTATCGCTTTTCTATCAGACATCGGTTTGGTGTGGGGTTTAACTATATCCTCCCAAAACACTGCAGACAGACTACTCAATAGAGATGACATGGTACTGCAAGAGATGAGAGTTTATGAATGAAAACAAAGTCAGTCTCTTAAAGAAAACAATGTGATAGTGACTAAATTATAAATTATTAACTTCATACGTGATTGTCATTGGTATACATCGTACAATTAGATAGCACAACACACATTTATACTATGTTATCAAAAGAAGGTGCTTTAGATAGTTTATCTTATAATATTAATTGTGTGATAGACGCGCCGGGACCTAAGCAGTGAAAATACATGATTGACAATTTTCGCGATTACCTCAGTGAAGCACTAAACAGTGAAGCCAAAAACAGACCCGGCAGACCGGGTGTAATCTTTGATATGTCATGGACCATTTTCACCATCAACTGCTCAATAAAAACGAGATTTATTCTTCTTTACAGAGTCATAAATAACATTTGTATATTGCACAACTTGTTTTTTAATTATGTATATATATTAACAGTTATCAACGGGTTGTTTAAAGGCTTTTTATCTCTATAAATAATACCCATTTCCTGTATAAACATTTTCATTTTCATGTTATCTTCCTGTATCGTATCATAAAATATAATAAAACATCATTAAGTATTCGGACAATATGTTAACAAATGTTTGAGAAATAAAAATATATAACACAGCGTCAATACGCATTTTAACATATACTACTACTAATAATAATAATACTTCGAGTTTCTTATATACCGCTTTATTACAACCTAGTTCGGAGGTCGTCTCAAAGCAATTCACAAATACTTCATATACCCAATGATAACACAACGACGTGATATATCACAGCGTCAACAAACAAACCAAAAAAACTACCACGACGTCAACAAACAAGAATAAAAATATACAACGACTTCAACAAACAAACAAAAAATAAACTACGACGTCAACAAACAAGTTAAAAAATATACCACGACGGCAACAAACAAGGACAAAAATATACCATGGCGACAACAAACAAGGAAAAATTAACATGGCGTCAAAAAACAAGGAAAAAGATATATCACGACGTCAAATAACAAGGCAAAACAAACCACAGCGTCAGCAAGCAAGGACAAAAATATACCACCACGTAAATAAACAAGAAAAACGATATACCACCTAGTTAACAAACAAGGAAAACGATATACCACGACGTCAACAAACAAGGAAAAAATGTACCACAACGTCAACAAACAAGATCAAATTTTACAAAGTGTGTATACACTAAAGCGCAAATAATACAAATAAAGACATACAAACAAATTAAGGCTAACCATTTGTCGCACTCCAATGTGGAAGATGTTATACCTGGTTTTGGTTTCTGAGTTGCTTAGCTTCTAGTGGATCACAACCTTTTGTTTGGAAATAAGCAAACATGACAGCTCCCTCCGTTACTGCCAACGAGGAGATGAATAGAGATAACAGGCCCGAGAGAAAATACATTCTACAAAGTAATTAATAATTCTACAAAAAGTCATGTTCTTATCCGTTAACTTTTCAAAACAAAACAATGAATTTGTTGTGATTGTACTGCGTATTTAGTTACTTCAGCTAAACGCACCATATGAGAACAGTATTTCGAAATGTTAAAGATAATGTAGCTACAAATATATTTCAAATCAAAGACAATATATATAATGTCAATTATTTTATTTAACTCAAATCTGTGTAAGACAACTATCTAACTTTTAATCCATAAAGCATCTATATAGTGAAAACTACTACGTAAGCACATGCATACATATATATATCATATAAAATGGAAACATATTAAATATCATATACAGTGCATACTTTTTGGCTGTTGAGACAGATGGTGTTGCCTTGATCCGTTGATACGTTGACTGGCTAGGTGACATTCTAAGTCCAGATATAAGACCGCCAATGAATAGACTCCAAAACGATTGACGTAAAGTGGGATCGGGATCAAAGCTTAATAAAAGAAACGTGTCTCATTAAGTCCGGTTCCAATGGTTTATTACCAAGCGAATGATTAAAACGGATGAATGTCTGGTAATAATGGTTTTCACATTAGATATCAACTAACACATCGAATTGCTATTGCAATTATAAAAGAGATTCCTAAGCTTGTAACAAACGTTTCGAAAAATGTATAAATCCAAAGTCGCTCTGTACTTTATCACCTATCCCGTATTGTAACTGAAGCACTAAGTCAAGACGTTGTAAATGTGAATATTTCTGTTAACATGCAGTTTAACAATGTCTGATAAGTATTTACGTTAATGCGAAAGATACTAAGGCGCCTTGATAAGTTGGGAATTATTTCAGATATCTTTGGATCATGGGTGCTGGTGTAATTTTGATTTCACATGAACAATGTTTTTCTCTGTGCTATTTTTATACACTTTAGTGTATAAAAATAGCATGCAGCAGTGAAAAAACCCCATCCTGTTTATCTCATTTCAGAACGAGAACGAATGCAAAGGTTTGCATTGAGAAGATATTTTTATCAGGACTTATCAACATTCGTGAAGCTCACCATCGAGCATTCCAAATGGAATCAAGCTAATGTCTCTGATGCCTAATCAGACGGAATGTAGTATTGTTCACATCTGTTATATTATATAACACCGTTATGTTACCTACTCTAGAAAGTTTAACCGTCCACTCTCTCTTACAATGTTCCATGTGCTGGCTACACCACCTGCTTCCATCGTACCCTAGTTTTAAAAATACAAAATAGGTTTTCTTACGTATGACTGCTACTTCAGATTTATCTCTCACACACCTTCTAAATTAAATCACAATGCAATGTAAATGCATTTTTAACGTTCTGGCAATTACTATTGTATTATCATATCTATAGTGTGGACATAATGCTTAACAACAAAATGTTCTTTAACCACTCCACCCTTACCTTAAATATTATAGCAATCATGCCACCGAACATGAGTATGGCCTGTAGAACATCTGTCCATATCACTGCCGTGAGTCCACCCTTTAATGGAAATCATATTATAGGATTTTGCCAACATTATCATTAAATTGATTCATCAAGATTTGATTATAATCAATGACGTATCTTATCATGTTCAGTCCGACAATGACAAAGAGTGTATGATGACCCTTTTTAATTTTCAAATCCATACATCACTTACAATAATCGTATAAACAACAACCACGCTCATCAATGTGGTAACGGAGATCCAAACAGGAATCCCAGCCACTGTAAGGAAAAACAAGTGGTTTAACATATTCTCGTCATTATTTACAGAACTTGTATCGACATTATGTTCACATGAATATGAAAGTAAGATGTTGAAACCGGAAAACTACCACAGCTACAGCACACTATGGCGATTTGGAAAGAAACGTTCATACGAAAGTCATCGGTAATTGAGAACATGCCAAATCAACAGCATTGCTTTCTATTTCTAAACATTAGTGGAAACTTCTAATGGCGTCTTTGTAAAGGTAAATACATTATTGAATAAAGCACAGCCGCACAGCATGACATTAAATGTTTGTTGTTTTGAGATTAATGATGTCCTCTTTTTACTGAGATGTGTTCCAGTTGAAGTTGATAATTCCCTTTGAGGTTTCTAGAAACGTGTTCCTAACACATTTTGCAAAAACTGTAATATATCCACTCTGATTATTTGCCTTTGGTTCATTATCTTACCATTATCTGTCAAACTAGCCTGTTCATCTCACTGTTTCTTTTGCAATTGTTTGGTAGAATACGTTCAACTCGGTTTACATTTAACCCACAACTGACTGATTAATTAGATTTAATCTTACCCATTTCCAACGTAACAGCCGGCACAAATGTAACAGTTCCGAGATAGTTCACCTGTCAGTATAGAATATCAGCTAGTTCAATCACGTGTAACCAAGTCAATACAGATAACAGTTTTGAGAATATGAAACCGGTTTCTCGGTGTCAGTTGTGTTTGTAAGATATACCAATAAATCATTTTTAAAGATGGACAAACAGTTATCGATGATCTAAGTTTCAATGGCAGATTTGATCGTCAAAGTGCCGTATTGATTGTCAAAATCCTCAACATTCTTGTGATCAATGGCAAGTAATTATAACGAAATTGATTAATCGTGATAATGAAGACGTCTTTTAATGTTTTTGAGGTAATCATATTATTTAGCTCGATAAGTAGACTCATAATGAAATATATCTTGATTTATAACTGATTTGTGCTCAATCATTTCATGTCAGTGAGATCAAAATTAGGATAGGTCGATGCATTATTTAAGTCGACTTATATATCAATGCATAATTACAATGGTGAGTGGACCTAAATTAATAAGTTACAAATTCCTCTCGAAACATCGACCAGTTGACGTGATAAATTGTATGTGTCGTCATAAACAGACAAAATTAGTTATTCATAAAGGTGAATTCGAACGTACTGGAAATGATCAAGTCCATTTTCCATTTCTTTCACATTTTCGATGAAACGCTATTTCCGAAAATAGAACAAAACGTTTAAAAGTACTAGGATTATCTCCAAGAATAAACAATATTATAAAAATGAGAAAATTCTGGCACTTACATGTATACAAAACTAGATATAATAATTCATGTGTACAGAAGTTTGATGCTCACTAAATTATTTACAACATAGTCATATTGTGACCGGACAAACAGCAATAAACTGGCATGAGTAACGGTAGGTAAATAATATGTATTTCTTAACAGGGAAACGCGTATAATCACTGGACAATATATAGTTCTTACCGTCGAAAGTATAGATATACATGTTAAAAACAATCGGATCCCATGGGAATTATATCGAAGTTCCAAGTACTGAAATGTCAACAGGTATATCAATATAATGATCAATGTCAAATATAACCAACGCATGTCTCTCAATCATTGCCAGTAGTATTATTATGCGCACTGCTTCACCACGCTCTATGGAACAGAAACAAACAACATTGTCTGAAGCATACACATTACACCCTGAGAAAGGCTCAAGGTGGAAAGAGTTATGGAATACACTTAATTGAATAAAAACAATCAATATGGTTTTTAAACTGTTTCCTGTGGATTGTGATAATGAGTTCTTCTGAATGAATTATATCATTTAATGTAACTCTGTTTCGACAATCTTCCTCGAAAAACCCCACATTGAATTATATATAATAATTATATAACTCGGTTCAAAGATGTTGCACGCAATTAATACCCCTGAAGTATTTCCGAAACACACAATGAATTATAATGTATAAATATATATCAATCAATTCGAAGAGCTACCACAACATGAAAGCTGATTTAGTATCTTATCACACGGATATATATACACATTATGAAACTATACTTACATGATTCACACTTGTAACATTCAACTTTTTTAGCGAAGGAATAAATATATGAAGACACAGCATATCGGATACGAAACCACCTATTGACGACATGTAACACTGCATACCGTACATGTACACTTCCGCCGGAATTCCCAACATCATAATACCAGACTGGAACGTCACCATCATAGAAAAGGCAACCGGGATTATAGACATTTTACCATCTCCTAGTAAGAATCGTCTAGTAGTGATCTGTTCAGATCTGTTACGAATCGCATAGAAGAGGCCAATTCCAAGTGAGGAAATCAGGCATAACACAAATATGACGTAGTCCTCCAACTTCAAAAATGTCATTTTGACTTCAAATTGAATCTAAAAAGTGATTAAAAAGCATATAAAAGAACGCAATAATATGCTCTCATTGTTGTTTTGTCACTCAATTATTTTATTAGAATTTATACAGGAATTGTTACAATATAGTACTAATATATTTTGAAGTTACCGTACATGAATTGTTTTTCAGTAAAACATATAGTGCACAATTGAACTAAAGGACTATGAAGATACAAAATTCAGCGCTATTAGTAAACGTATTCAGAATTAATAATTGAAAAAAATATAATTATAGCATGTGATTAATGAAACGTAAACTGTTCTGTTTAAATTGCCGAACTGGGACATTGTGACTTAGACGACTCTTTGCATAAAGGACTGCATGTACATTAGCATACATGTACCAATCAGTCGTAAATCAAGCTTGGTATGGCATTAGGCCGATAACTGCATGTTACGTGTACAGCTAATAAATAACACATGATCATAAAAAGCCATCTAAATGTCAAACGTATAGAATGTTGATGGTAAACAAACTATAAGCAGGCCTAAGCAAATGGATAAACAGTTTGCAACGATCGAATAATATTATGTCTGTATTTTTCAAATAATTTGGTTTATAAAATCCATTAACGTCACGTCACACTTATAAAAGTAGATATATATAAAGGTTCTGGCATAAATGTTATTGTAGACATTCACTTATACACATATAAAAATGCAATACACACACTTTATACTCATATATTTCATTAATATAAACATATGTGAGTGCTTACTTATGCTTGCAATCCAGACCTGAAACCCAAATATCCATCCTATAATACTGTCTGTATATTTTTAGTTTTTATCGTCATGTACATGCGTGTTGCAGTTATTATACTAAGTTATAAATACTAAACCTAAAACAAATATCTACGTCTTTCTTTTAATTGACATGTATAATTCATTAATTGTAATATTTATTTTTCTTCAATTACACCTTTGGGTCTGTTGAATTGAATTGAAATAAATAAATTCGTTTATTTCTTCCATTTTGACCGAATAACTTTTTTTATATGATGCAGTACACATTTTCTTTGTTCGGCATTCTCCATAAAAAACTCAATTTGTAAATAAGTGCATAATAGTATTGCTTTTTAAACTAATTCTTTGTTTTCTTTCTGCTATTTTGACTCAATAACTCTTACAGTTCTCTAACTAAAGTTGTAATTAAATGCTTCCTTACATTATAGTT